AATGGGTAGATCTCTGTACAGGTAGTCAACTTCATCTTCTAGAAAGCTGAGTGCTCGGTACAGGAGAACTTTTATGGCTACTTTAAGGAAACTTTTCAATTTCCTAATGTCTAGATTGGGCCAAAATCATCCTTCTACCTTTGGAATTGGAAAGTATTTGCAGCATACAAATACCAGAAGGCTTAGTTAGGAGAGGAGAAAGGTTAGTCTCTACCTAGTGAATCCTCATTTTTTTGTAGGGCCCCTCAGGTCACTATTTTCTTGAGCCAAGCTGAACTCAGCTGCTCTGAAGAGTATTCCAAATACCTGCATCACTGTTGGTTCAGAGATAGAATTCTCTGATTTGCATTCTCTCACTCCTAACGAGAACACATGATGACAATTTTGACAGGGTTTTCCAAATGTCTAAAAAAGTTCTAAGAACAGGCAGAGAGCTCTTTGCCATCTTTGGGACTGAGAGGAGCGAGAAATTTCAGATTAACAGAAGTTTTGCAGAAAGTTGTAAGGTATCTGATAAGAGCTTGTAATGGATTTGCCTCAGTGTAACCATCGTGTTCGTCTCCAAACACACACAGTCTCTCTCTCTCTATTGTTGTGAATATTATTTGGGCATCACATAATAAAATAGTTAGACCTACAATGAAAAAGCTTTTCCCTTTAGAAATGTATTCTTTTCTTAAAAGATGGCTATTCCCTTTGAGTTTAACTAACCGTTCTTACTATAAATTACTAGTGTTAAAATACGGTTATTATGCACACTAAAGTTCCTAAATGTGGATCAGGTGTCCTCTTGACTGAAGAAATTGTTCTCTAGAAATGTTATTGTTTATAGCCATCTACTATTATATATGAATAGCTGGAATAAACCTCAAACAGCTGCTATTTGTAAAGGTTTTTATTACTGTTTTTATATGAACAATTATTTTCTACTAGAAATTTAGCTATTGTCCCAAAAGCAAAATTTCATTCAGTGCAACTAAAATATTAGTAACATTTGATGGAGATTCTTTAGAATTATTTTTGATTTTCTAAGGCCTCATGTATACAGGAGGTTGTATCACTTTTAAAAAAAATGATTTAGTAAAACCATTGTAAAAGGCCACGTGGACACTCCTCTTTCAGGGTATGTCTACACTACCCGCAGGATCGGCGGGTAGTGATCGATCTATCAGGGATCAATGTATCGCGTCTCATCTAGACGCGATACATCGACCCCCGAACGCGCTCCCCATCGACTCCGGAACTCCACCAGGGCGAGAGGCGGAAGCGGAATCAGCGGGGGAGCGGCGGCCGTCGATCCTGCGCCACGAGGATGCGAAGTAAGTCAATCCAAGTCGATCTAAGATACGTCGACTTCAGCTACGCTATTCTCGTAGCTGAAGTTGCGTATCTTAGATCGATTTCCCCCCCGCCCCCCCAGTGTAGACCAGGCCTCAGTTTGAGAGGCTTATTTAGCTTTACCCTGTTCCCACTCAATTTGAGCCAAACTGAAATAACCTCAGTTTAAACCACAGTAGGTGCCACACAGCCTTTTGCACTGATTTAGTTAAATTGGTTTAAAAAAAAAATCACACCTTAAATTAAAGCAATGCTACTTTGTGTGGATGAATCCTAAATTTTTGCAGTCTCATGAGTCCATTAATCTTACTGCCACTTAAATAATATTGTGAACCAACTACTCCATGTTTAGTGTAGCTTTTTCGTAATTTGAAAGGGATATGTCAGTGAATATATTAAAAATACAATAATTCATCCTTAGTGTGATTCCAGTGTAGTCAATGGAGTTACACCAGGGATAAATTTGTCCCAGTAGTGTTTAACTTACATTTAAAATACATTTTGTGTATTCCATATTACGAAGTTCCAAGTTATTTCTTCAGAAATTTTAAAGTCTAAATCTGCTATGTTGTGCGAAACTGTACATAGAATATTGGTTCACTCACACTGTGGGTCACCCAAAGATTACAAGCTGTAGCAGGAACTCTCGCATAAAGCAATGTCTGTATGCAGAGACTTCCACATGATGTTAAAATGCAAAACAGTAACAAGACAGTAACATAATAACAAAGTAGTCCAAAGTTTTAAAATAAAGTTATTTTATTTCAAAATAGTGTTTTATAATTACACAGATCCAGTTAATATAAAATACAAATAGTAACTTACCAATTTGTAAAAAACAGGGCCAGTTTGCAGAACTATAAACTATAAAACTGAAACACTGTGAATGTCCACCAGAAATTTTACAAACTTGATGAGTACTGATTTTTTTATTTAAACTACATTTTCACATTGTCTACTTTTAGTTCTGCTTGTTTTTATTACACAAGGTGCTCATAAGATTGCCTACAGAGCGGACATAACAAAAGAGAATTTTAAGAATATAAATATAAAAAAGAAGTTCTTTAAACTACTCACTAATATTCTCTGCTGCAGAGATAAATATTACAAAAGTGCTAATATTTCTATGACAAAGAGTAGCAGAATAGATTTAAATGTTAATCAAATCACACAGTTAAAATTTTCAGAATTAAATCTGCAATAATCTGGCGATAGTTCCAAGTCATTGGCAGGCTTTATATGTCCTATAACCTGCCAGTATTTCCACTTCCTAATATTTAACAAATCAAGTGGGCACAAGAGAAATATTAAAATTAGGTATATATAAATATCCAGATTCTGATTATATATAAATTGGTTTTGGTTTAACAATATTGGAACTATACTCTTTAGAAAAAAGAATGAAATACGTGCATTTCCCACCTTTTTCTACTTTGAACCCAAAACGTTTCCATTTGTTAAGTATCCTACAAGCAGTAACATTTGTGTGTATAACAATCTAAGTGAACAAACAAACCTTAAACCATGAAAAAGTAGTTTGTATAGACCATAACTGTTTGCCCATCTATAGCAGCCTGTGGTATAGTAATTTATTTTCAAGAGCAATACTAAACAATTCTTAAAATTCAATATTTACTAAAAGCTTAATAATGCAGATGTTCAGTTTTCCAGAAACCTATAAACCAAAATGTGACTGCTCTGGCACAAGGAGAAGACATAGGAAGCCCTTTCCCCCTGACTCACAAGCGCATTCAAAACAAGGGACAGCCATAGCTTATTTGCCTCTGCTAAGCAACACAGGGGCTGGGACAGCTAGCACAGTCTTCAGTGGTACGTGGTCCCAGAGAACATTTCCCCAACACCACTGTGGTGACATCCACCAGCGTTGTGCTGGCGGAAGCACTATCTACACTTTCCCAAGGTGCAGCAAGTCCCACTGCTCACTGTGATGCCCCCAGTTTCCCCAGAGGCATTATATCTTATAAAGGCAAAATGCCTCCAGGCACTGCCACTCAGCCAGCATGCCTCTTCCCCCGTCCCAGTGTGGTTCAGACTCTAAGGACTTATAAATGAGCCCCATGGGCCTGAATCTGAGCTCTGTGATTTTATCAATTTAACTATGTAGTTTTTTTACTATAGTGTCCATTACCATAATATCTGAGCACTTCCTTAATGAAGTTACACCATTGGAAAATGCTGACAGTGGAGAAACACCTGGTTCACCTTAATGTGAGATCAGAATCTGGATCTATCTGTGTAGCAAAAACAGATGGGAACAGCTACTGTAGTAACTGTCAAAAATGGATAAAGATACCTGCTGAATAAATCTGCATTGAACTGGAATATACCACAATCCTGGAGAGGTCAAGGCAGAAGGAAACACCTCCCTAGTTCAACAGAATTGTGACGGATACAGCTATTTTAAGGTTATCATTTTCAGTGAGAACTCACAGTAGTAAGCACTACTAGTCAGTGTTTGTTCTTACCTAGGGCCTGGTTCTGCAATGTGTTGACAGTGAACTTCACATTTCCGTGCTCTTTCAGTTTGTCACATTTACATACATTGAATTCTTTACAGTGGAAAGAACTGTTTTAGGGTCAATTCACTTTAAGGAAATGTGATATTACCCATCAAGGACTGTTGTAGTGAGACCTAAATCAACTAGGACCAACAAACTACAAACAGGAAATATGGAGCAAAGTTAAACATGTGAGATCAAGGCGTACAGGTAGTTTACATAACAGAACAAATGAGGCAGAGGTATTGAGGGGAGAAACTAGCAGATGCTAAGGTAAATGGGCACCTTTATTTCCCAACATCTGGAAATTGTGTAATCACTAGCTAAATTGGGCCAGAGTCTGTTCTCAATTATACTGAGAAAATCTAGATTTACATGGTGTAATTAAGAGAAAAAATTGGCCCATTGAATCCTATGTGTTTTTAAAAGACATTACTATAGTTCCTTCAGTTTTAAAGAGACACAATCAGCTTAAAAGTAACTATTTGAAAATTCTTTACATACTGTTTATAAGTAACACTTAAAAGAACCAATGTTTGAGAATAAGATATTTCATAAGTTTACTTTCTGCACTTGATAGTACTTCCTGTCTAGTTGGTTTCACTATTTTCTCTGACTGTCCATTAACTCTATTTGTGTGGGTCTTTCCTACAGCAGAGGAAAGGGGTGGGAGGGGAAGGGGGAGAAAATTAAATTAGGAAATGTAGTTGTAAAGCCATAAAAACTGGTAGGTTTAGAATCTGAAGTTATTTTTGATGATATTCCTTTAAATAACTAGAGTGATTTTGACTATCTAGTCCAACTGAGAAATGGTATGTTTCATGTTTACCTAGTCTTTCAAAACCTTGTTCTAAAACTGATCACTTCAAGTAACATTAACACTGAAGGGAAATACAGGTCCCATCAGGGCCGGCTCCAGGCACTAGCTTCTCAAGCAGGTGCTTGGGGCGGCCGTTCCGGACAGGGGCGGCAGATCCAGGTATTCGGCGGCAATTCGGCGGACGGTCCCTCACTCCGCCTGGGAGTGAAGGACCTCCCGCCGAATTGCCGCCGCAGATCGCGATTGCGGCTTTTTTTTTTTTTTTTTTTTTTGGTTTTGGCTGCTTGGGGCGGCCAAAACCCTGGAGCCGGCCCTGGGTCCCATATAAAAAGTTTCTTCTGGTTTGGAAGACAGTGCGTGAAAACCTGGCCCTTTTTAAGTCAATGACAAAACTCTCATTGACTTAATATGCCTGGATTTCACCTATTACCAGTATTCACCATTATAAGCACAGGGAATCTCTCTCAAACCAATGGAATACTTCAAAAGAGAAGAAACATTTCAATGTGACCACTGCATCAAGATCAATTGTAGATTCCCACTGCATATTTTAAATTCACTTTAAAATATAACAGGCCCAGGTTACTTCAAACCATAAAAGGTGGAAATAAAGACATTTTGCTTTCAAGAACTCCTGCAAAAGTGTGTTAGGTATGGAAGGCTATTCAAGCATTTAAGCATTAAAGTAGGTGAGGGGGGAAATATTTAGGCTACTTTGCAGTCTTTTCTCTGGCCAAAAACTTTACTCAAATTGCTATTTTAACCAAGAAAGGCCTGTTGTATCAGGCCTTTAAGTTGATTGCAGTCAACTGTCCCATTTGCAAAGCCAAAAGAGGGTTGGAAAGTAACTAGAATTTCACATACTAAACCATAAAACATTTGTTAGAGTACAGGTTTTTTGTTTTCTCTAAAGATTCTTTAAACATAGCAAGTTAACAGTGCAAATACTAGGTTGCTGTGTGAGACTCTTACCTTATTTTTCTTCAAAAGTATTTTAAAAAGCTCTCCAGTTTTTAAACAGAATAATAAAAAAAGAGATACAAATATTTCATGTTGGGAAACAAATCCCACAGCATTCCATACAGATTTCCAAGCAGTCTGATGATTCGCAACAAGTGTCCATTATGCCACAATCCATGTCACATGGGCAGTTACAGTCATCCCCCATTTCATCCCCACAGCAACAACAGCAGGCCTCCGATGTACAGATGCCACAGGAAGCTTGTCCCAGAACAATATTACAGAGGGTGAGAAACTCACAAAACAAGCAAGCCAGGATACAGTGAACACAGCAATCTTCGTAAGTACCAGTTTTGTAGAGTGCCGCATATATAAAAAAAAAAAAAAAAGGAAAAAAAAAAGGACAAATCAGTATTACATTTTATGTGCAAATATGTCACATAATAATTACTGGCACTGCTTTACAATCGGCAAAGCTTCCTTTCCCCTGCAACATGAAGTTCAAATTTTGTGTCCTCCTCTTCAAGGTTACAGCACAGCCAGCTTAAATCTTGGATCTCATCTTGTATGTCCCCCTCCATTAGTCAATTATGCTAGCCTTGATGCCAGACTTCATGTCCTTTCTCTACTCTTGATTTCACATTACCCTCTGCATATCTCTATCATCTCCTCATTCAAATTTGTTTTCAAACTCACTTCTTCCATGACACCCATAAATTACCAGATTATGAAAGAAATATCAAGTTATCTAAAGTGACTGCTTCCTTTTGGTCTACCTTTGCATCTGTCTTCTAGAGTGTACACTCACCATATTTTATATCTGTGCCCTATATGGTACCAACCACAGAGCTGGCATATGAACATATTAGTTTCTTGTTGCAGGATCAGTTTGTGCGGCAAAGGTACAATACAATTTCTGTACTGTTTACTTTTATTGTTCATACTATACTGGGAACCTTTTTTACTTGTAATTTATAGTTGTGTGACTAAAGGACAGGAGAACTGGTGCTGAGGGGACGAATGGAATTAAGAACCATACCTCAACCCACATTTCAAGTCAAATCAAACCCAACAATTTTGAGAGTCACCTTCATGAGACATAATTCATAAGAGAAACAAAATCTCAAGAGACAGAGACAAAGACAAAAACAGAACACTGAGACTTTATGAATTGAGAGTTGGTCACAGCTGCCTATAATTTATGCATAAATTATGTGCTTGATTGTTTTGTTGATATTTATGGAAAAAAGTAGTTATAGCAAAGGAGATGCCACCACAGCATGAGGATTTTGCTTTCTCTGTGATATCAGGCTAATCTCAAAAACAGCCATATCAACATGCCATACATACACCTACATTTTCAACAATGAAGAAAAAAAATCTGTTCTGATCTCACATTTTAAATTATTCCTCTGCACAATTCTCTTATTAGTCTTAGATTTAATTATTTTTTAAAGCTAACTGGAAATTAGAACTAAACCTGAACTGAAATATCCTGCTGTCATAGGCACTGGTAAGTCACACATGGTAAATGAGAAAGTGCACTCGAGTAGTACCCCACACATTATGGAGAGATGGCACCCAAACAATGAATACATGTAATCACATCAAATAATTGTCATTGATATTTTGTTCTAATTCTATGATAAAGGATGGGGAAACACACAAAGATTGGAAGAATAGCAAAACATTGAGCAATGAGAAGAAAATTATAGTATTGAGGCATACATTTATCAGATTTTCATCAAAATTAACTCAAAGGAAACCCAGTTACATACAGTATGTTCTGAAATGCTCAGCAGAACCCCCTCCCCAGATATAGCGGCATATATCATGCACACAAGTTTAATTTTGTGTTTGGCAACAGATACTATTTGGGGAGGAGTATATTTAATTTGTGAGAGACAGGAATACTTAGAACACAAATGAAAATTTTAAAGTTGCAAGACTTTTTAAAGCAAAAGGTCACTATAGGGTAACATCTTTAAAGTTGTGGAATATTTGTTGTAAGAAATGAATGGTTCACTTGGACATAAAACAAATCTGATCAGAGTGGGTAATCAGTTTTGAAAATTAGACAGATTAAAATCTAAAATTAGATTAACAATATTTATAACTCAATGGATAAAATATAGTCCTAGTGTTTTTTCTATTGGTACAATTAGTTTGTCCTTTCAAAAACATTTGATGCCAAACTGTTTAGCTATTTATAAACAGTTATTGCAAGGTGATTTTCATGCTAACCTACAAAGGTAACCAGAGGCAATAGTGATGATAACATAGTGCTCAAGAATACAGTTACAATTTTAGATGCTTGCTTATAGGCCATGTCACATTTTGAAAGGCTTTGTGGAAAAACTTAACCAGACTATATCTGTGAAGTCCAAATGTGGTATAATAAATGAGCTTACTAACTTATTTATAGTAAGCAGCGTCCAAACTGATGTACTAAATTTGGAAGAAATCTTAAGTTAGTGTATGTACTAAAGATCTACACTGTAAGTAAAGGTGTGATTGTAAGCACATCGACGCTATCTTTAATTTAGCACAACTCAGCAACCTGAGTGCATACCCAGAGTTCCTGGTGGGCTTGTACTGGCACAGCTAACCCATGCCAAAGCGCATATTGCAATCACATCTTCATTTGCAGCATAGATATACCCTGAGTGATTGTGATCAAGCAAGACTTATGGGTCTTTACATACATTTAATAGCTGAGAAATTAAAATTATAAACGTGTATTTTTGAAATTAAAGGACAATTAGAAATTTTGGTAGGAAACAGCAAAGCTGCAGTTCTCATGTTTAAAAAATAAATGAATGAGATGATTTTTATTGAGCCAGTTGACACAGGAAAGTGTTGACAAGAGGCTTATCAGTTGCAGTAGGGAAGAACATTGTCATCTGCAGACATAAATATCTTAGGGTATGTCTACACTACGAAATTAGGTCGAATTTATAGAAGCCGGTTTTATAGATATCGGTTTTATACAGTCGATTGTGTGTGTCCCCACATAAAATGCTCTAAGTGCATAAAGCTGGCGGACCGCATCCACAGTACCGAGGCTAGCGTCGACTTCCGAAGCGTTGCACTGTGGGTAGCTATCCCATAGTTCCCGCAGTCTCCGCTGCCCATTGGAATTCTGGGTTGAGATCCCAATGCCTGATGATGCAAAAACAATGTCGCGGGGGGTTCTGGGTACATGTCGTCAGGCCCCTCCCCTGCCGTCAGAGCAACGGCAGACAATCGATTCGTGCCTTTTTACCTGGGTTACCTGTGCAGACAACATACCACGGCAAGCATGGAGCCCGCTCAGCTCACCGTCACCATATGTCATCTGGGTGCCGGCAGACGTGGTACTGCATTGCTACACAGCAGCAGCTCCTTGCCTTTTGGCAGTGGATGGTGTATTACGATTGGTATCCGTCGTCGTCGTACTCCTCAGTGAGTTCAATCAGAGGCACCCGGGAAAGTTCTTCAGCAGATTCCTCTAAGAAATACTGCACCAAACTTTCCACTCTGGGCATCTGATTCTTGACGACGATGGCTATCAGTCGTAGTACATCATTTTCTGCCAAGCACCCAGAAGATGCCGATGGCTATCAGTCATGCTGCACCGTCTGCTGCCAGCTTAAGATGTAAAAAATAGGTGGACCAGATTTGTTCTGATTTCATTTGCTTCCCCCTCCCTCCGTGAAATCAACGGCCTGCTAAACCCAGGCTTTTGAGTTCAATCTTTGGGGGGGCCATTCTGTGTGACAGTTGTTTGTGTTTCTCCCTGATGCACAGCCACCTTTGTTCATTTTAATTCCCTGTACCTGTACGCCATGTCGTCACTCGCCCCTCCCTCCCTCCGTCAGTTTTGCGCCTTTTTTCAGACCAGACGCCATAGCACTGGGATCATGGAGCCCGCTCAGATCACCGCGGCAATTATGAGCACTATGAACACCACGCGCATTGTCCTGGAGTATATGCAGAGCCAGGACATGCCAAAGCAAAACCAG